CTCGCCGCGACGTGCGTGAAGAAGCCGGAGCTCCTGCAGGAGCTTTTCTCTGAGCTCTGCACGTGCCTCGCTCCCCCCTCCAGCCCCAGCAAACCCGCCCCGCTGTCAGAGGAGCTGAAGCTGGCGGTGATCCAGGCACTCCACACCCTGATGCATTCCGCTTACGGGGACATTATCTTGTCTCTGTATCAGCCTTCCACGCTGCCTCTCTTAGGGTTTGCTGTGTCGTTGCTCCTGGGCCTTGCAGAGCAAGAAAAAGCAAAGCAAATTAAGATCTCTGCTTTGCAGTGCTTGCAGGTCCTCGTTCTGCAGTGTGACTGCCAGGAGCATCGGCACCTGGATGAAGACGAGGCACAACAATGTGGGGACGTGTTTGCTTCCTTTTTGCCTGGGATTTCCATGACACTGTCTCGGGTTATTACTGGAGACATCAAACAAGGTCACAAACCCACCGTTTCTGCCATCAGAGTCTTTTATCAGGTTGTTGGTTTGGTGATGGCTGATGAACAGCTAGCCAGAGCCCCAAAGAATAAGGAAAAGCCACCTGTGGAACAAAGCAGAATTTCAGAACTAATGGTCCATAGAGGACCTGACTGGAGTAAAAGTACTGCTGAAAAACTCTGTCTCCTGCTGCATAAAGTGGTTGAATTTTCTTCAGTTCACCCCCACTGGAAAGTGCGACTGGAGCTGGTGGAACTGGTCCAGCACTTACTGAGGAACTGCAGTCGGTCGCTGGTGGACTCATTCAGTCATCTTTTAAAGGCCTTGGTTGGGCTGGTGAACGATGAGAACGGCGAAGTCCAAAGCAGGTGTAACGAGGTCCTGCAGGGCATTGCGGGGCAGGGGATCGTGGCACAGAGCAGGGCTCTTGCTGACGTCCTCTCCGAGAACCTCCACTCCCTCGCCACAGCTCTTCCTCGCCTGATGAACTCTCAGGATGACGCAGGCAAGGTTTCCACTTTGAGCTTGTTGCTGGGCTACCTGAAGCTGCTGGGCCCCAAGATTAACATTGTCCTCAACTCCACATCCCACCTTCACCGTCTGTCTAAAGCCCTGATGCAGGTTCTGGAGCTGGACGTGACGGATGTGAAGATCGTGGAAGACCGACGCTGGGGCTGCGAGAGCGCGTGCGGACCCCCGGGCTCCCTGCAGCCTGGTGTGCAGAAGGGCAGATGTCAGAAGAAATACTTCCGCTTCTTCACGGAGGAGAAAGTTTTCCAGCTCCTTCAGCAAGTTTGTCGTGTTCTTGGCTACTACGGGAACCTCTATTTGCTGGTGGATCATTTCCTGGGGCTGTACGGTGAGTCTGGCCTGTACCGAAAGCAGGCGGCCATGGTCCTCAATGAGCTGATCGCAGGAGCTGCTGGGATGGGGGTGGATGTCCTCCAGGAAAGGGAAATTTCACTGAACGTGGATGATCTCAAAGGGTCCATAACGTCCATTCTCGACGAGTACACAGACCAGGCGAACTGGTATTTGGTCACTAGCATTGAGGCAGAAGAAACCAGCCACGAGCACTCTGTGCAACACTCAGGGCTTGCTGCCCGTGCAGGAGGCGTGTGCAGCAGCGTCCTCCTGCCGTCCCCAGAGCCTCAGCTGACGACCCGCACCATGAACAGCAACATCTGGCAGATCTGCATCCAGCTGGAAGGCGTCAGCTGCTTCGCCGCTGTCCTGGGGACGGAGTTCCGGTTGCTTCTGCTCTCGGCTCTCTACCCTGTGTTGGAGAAAGCTGGTGACAAGACTCTGCTCATCAGTGAGACAGCGCTGGGGACCCTGGTAGACATCTGCGAGGCCTGCAGTTATGACTCTGTCCAGTGTCTGATTAATGAGAATTCTGACTATCTGGTGAACGGGATTTCCCTGAATTTGCGCCAGCTGGCACACCAGCCACGTGCCTCCCAGGTCCTGGACACCATGCTGAGGCACTCCGATGCCAGCCTGCTGCCACTGGTAGAAGACGTCATCCAAGATGTCCTGTGTGCTCTAGATCAGTCTTACAGTGACCAGGCTTCCACGTTCCTTGGGGTCCTCCTCTCAGTAATGACAGCTTTAGGTACCTGAGTGACCTTTGCGTTGTGCAGTTCGGTCTGGCTGTAACTAGGGGTACTTGTCTCTGACCTTTTGACTTGCTGTGGGAGATTTCAAGTAGCTGAGGTGCTGCAGCGTGGTGGCAGCTTTGCTCTGCTTGGTGGGCCAGCTCTCAAGCAAAGATCCCCCAGAGCTTCCCCTCTCCACAACCAGTTTCTGCCTGGCCTGCAGACTTGCAGGAACATGGCCTGTGCTGGTTGGGGAAGGATGGATTTCTACTCGTGTAGAAGCACATGGAGTGCACCCCTTGTTGTGTTGGGGGTTTAACATCCTTGTACCATCCGGGAGGTCACAGTGACGTGACAGCAGGTGCCTGGTTCTGTAGTTCAGTCCCATGAGACTGGAGAGTCACGTTTGTCCCGGGGAAGCTGTGGCACCTCGCTGACTCGCAGGAGGGGACGTGGTTGCTTAGTGCCACAGCAGTTTCTCTTTTGCAGCCCGGTGGTTCGGATGGTCCCGCGCTCAGGAGCGCCGGCAGAGCCAGGCTGCTGAGGGGCAGAGCAGGGCTTTGTCCCGCGGGCAGCGGGCGCTGACGGGGCAGGAACTGCAGCGGTTCTTCCTTGACTACATGAGACAGAAGCAGATGGCAGAGGGCAATCTTCCCGACACAGGGGACGAGGAGACAGGTCAGTACTGTGCGTGACTGCAGAAGAGTACGTTCAACTTGGGGAAAGGAGGTGACCTCTGGGGTTTCCTTTTGGCAGATGGGGGACTTGGGACCAGGCTGAAAGCCCAGCACACTCCTGACAGTCCCAGGTCTGCTTTGAGCTGACCTTTGCTCACCTAAGGTGCTGCTGGGTGTTCTGTGCATGGTGGTGGGGGGAAGTGAAATGTTTGCAGATCAAATCAGATCATTGCTGATGGCAAGGGGGTTAGAACTAGATGATCTTTAAGGTCCCTTCCAACCCAAACCACTCTATGATTCTATCAAGGCTTGTCTGAAGCACACTATGTTTTTCTGTGCCTCATAAAAGGCCATTTAGGTTCAGGACCCAAAGCTTCCTCTTTCCAGGATCCTGCTGCATTTTCGTCCCCCTCCCTTGGGAATTCCTCTACCATTTTCTCCTGGCTAATGGTGCCACCACTTCCTTCTCACTCGACCTTGGCAGGCCCTGCAGACATTCATATGGGGAAGTTTACTGGGCTATGCTGCAATCCTGACCTTTAAATACTTCATCTTTAAATACCCAGGCTTTTCATTTTTAATAAAAATCAGTGGGAAATAAGTCCAAGGTGAGGAGAGACTGCAAATATCAGACCAATTGCATTGTCCAGTGAAGAAAGCAAACCTTCCCTAGTCCCTCACTCTTAAGTGAATCTGACCCTTAACTCTTAGAACTCAAGCAGAGACTTGACTATATCCAACTACGTTAAAAAGTGACGAAGACCTCACTTGGGAATTTGCAGAGCAGTTGTGGGCAGGTATCGTGATCTCCCAGAACTCCCAAGTCATTCTCACGGCTTCAGTAACGGTTTTGTCTTCCAGATGAGATTCCCCCTCTTGCTAAGCCAGAGCCAAACAACTCTGACACAGAAGGAGAGACTCCTCTGCCAAGCCATGCCCAGCTGGCCAAAGCTGTGATGGAGAGGTGCATCCACCTGCTGTCTGACAGGAACCTCCGGGTGCGCCTCAAGGTTGGTAAGCGCGGCTCGGAGGGGCCAGGTGGTGCCCGCAGAGGGGCTGGTAGTTCATCAGCACATGCACGGTGTGTGCTGGGCTTCCTGCCGTACTGAGGCTGGTGCTGCCATATGCTTAGTCAGGAGAGACCCTCTGAGTGTTGGCAGGAGAAAGGGAGAGTGTTTTCTGGGAGTAGTCTGGTTTAGGAATGGCAGCCAGGCTGGACAGAATCTTAAGCGTGGTTTCATATCAGACACCTTCCTTTGATGCTCATGACAGTCAAGTCTCGTGCCTCAGCCTTTGGTGGAGGAAGCAGAAGCATCTTTCTCCCATCCCCCTTCCTCAGGCTGTGGCGCACAGACTGATGAACATTTCTGAAGTTGCTGGGGTGATGATAAGCAGGGCTGAAAGGCTGGAGTTTTTAAATTATGAAAATCCTTTGAAGGTGGCCTCCTTTTAAACTGCAAAGCAAGACAGAAAATGCAGCAATGAGGCATAACCTAGATTCTCACCACAGAGGCCCCAGCCCTGCCAGGTGATCCTGCTGCCGTGCCACAGGAGCAGGAGGGTCCTAGTGCACAGTTCAGCCGGCAGGATCAGGCCAGGAGTCACGCCCTGGATCCAGCCCTGTAGCCCAGCACAAGTTATATCACTGTGCTACTTGTTCCTTTCTGAACAGGCTTGAGCTCTGTGCACTGTTCACTTATCCCAGTTCATGCTGAGGTAAAACTGTGCACTTTTGTATTAAAACCCTTCTTTCTCCTGGCTCCCCAGTGTGACACTGGGGATCCACCTGAGTGCCTGGTGCTGCTGGCAGTGCAGCACTCTAAGTCTGTTACCTGCCTCTCCTGCCCAGGTCCTGGACGTGCTGGAGCTCTGTGTAACTGTGCTGCATCCTCACGGAAACCACCTGCTTCCCATGGCTCATCGTGTCTGGCCAGCTCTCGTCACCCGGCTGATTAGTGATGACCCTCTGGCAGTGCTCAGAGCCTTCAAGGTACAGCAGCGAGTCTCTGCCAACAGCCTCCAAGCTGGTGCTTAGAAGGCAAGTGGCTCAGGCATTGCTGTGGCCTGTGAGAGAAGCACTGAGCTCTTAGAGTGATTTTTAAATGTGGTTCAGAACACAGGGTCACCACCCTGCAGTGGGTGAGTGGGTGGGTGGGCTTGTACCACTCCCACTGCAGTTTGTCCACCGATAAAACCTTGACACTGTTGCTGGGGGAAAGAGCAGTATCAGTGGTTATTGCAGGGAGAGGAAAACAATTCTCTTACAGCCTAAGCAGCTGGCAGAGGCACTGTATAGTGCAACTTGCCCTTGCTGGAGCCACAGGCTCAGCATCCTGCTTCAGAAGCCTCAGACTGAGGAGAAGGGATTGTTTTGTGATTGAGGCATTGGCAGGGGAGGGGAAAGGTTAAGCAAAGTCTTGGCCTCATAACAATGCTATTAAAGAGCTCCTGACCATGTCAACTGACTGCTTTCTCTTCCTGACTCAGAAGCTGGACAACAAAGCATGTTTGCAGAGGTTGCCAGCTCCAGGGTTTTGCAGGGCTTCCTCTGCTGTGCACAGTGAGATTCATTTGAGAATCCTTCAGTGTGAATAAAGGAGAGTTTTGGTTCCCCAAATTCAGGAACCCATACACTAGAATTTCAGAGTAGCCATTCCTCACATGCCTGCTCTAAAAAAAGGGAGAGATCGCTACACAAAAGCTAATTAAGTTTTGAAAAGTTCAAGGGATTATTACAATTAGCACTGAATTTGGGTTTTGTTATAAGAAATCCCCCAGGAGTGTCTTCCTTGCTAAATCTCAGGACAAGAAGTATAGCATCAATGTAAGCCAAACACAGCATAAGGAGCAGCTCAGTCCTGCACACTCAGACCACAAGCTTAGTGAAGTTCCAAGAGAGAAACGTGTTCTGGCCATGGGAGTTGGCCCCGTGGATCCCCCTCCTTCATTTTTACATGTATTTAAGGCTGTTCTCTATGCCAGTTTGGTTTTAATCCTGAGCACACACCAGTAGTGCTGGGGGCCCCCTGCTGCAGCCAGTTGGCCCCTGTTTCCTGTCACACTTGTGAAGATGGACAAAGGTGATTGATATTTTAAGAGCATCTTCCATCAGAGGCTCCTCCAGCAGTTCTAAATTAGGCTTCACCAACTCCTCTCACCCTTACTGTGCTAATGAGAGCAGGGCAGTCCCAGGAGGTTGGCCTGTGAAACTGAAGAGCAGGGTGCAGGTCACTCGGCCTCTCCATCGGGCATTCGCCTTCTGCTCACCGTGAGAACCTGTGACGGATGTGGTCACGTCAGCTGCAGAGATCTGCTGTGAGAATGAGTGAGGATTGCTGAGCTCCTCCCAGACCTGTACATGCATTTATCCTCCTGTAACTGATGTTTCTTCACTAGGTGCTATGTACTCTGGCTCAAAAGTGTGGAGACTTCCTGAGGCAGAGATTTTCCAAAGATGTCCTGCCTAAGCTGACCAGTTCCCTCCTCAGCCAAGCCCCAGCAAGTGCCAGAGCTGGGCCTGTGTACAACCACACACTTGCCTTCAAGCTGCAGCTGGCTGTGCTGCAGGGACTGGGTTCTCTGTGCGAGAAGTTGGACATGGGTGAGTACCAGGGAAAGTACATGTTGTATGAGATCTCTGCCAGACTTACCTCTTCTCCTTTCGTCTCAACTCACCAGGCCTGTGCTTGTTTCTCATCCTCCTGCTCCCCCATGGGATTGATTTCCTGGTGCTCCTGGGCTTGGATCTGTCCTCTTTGAGAGCTCTGTAGAGGGGTGGTCGCTCTTTACTGCTCAGGAGACAAATGGGAGAGAACATTGCAAGCACCAATCTGACTGCTCATCTCACTTGTGCAGATACAAAGTGGAGAGCCTGGGTTGCTGCAGCTAGGCCTGTTGGGCCATGCTTTGTTCTTAATTAACTGAAGAACTAGATCCCAGATAGCACTTCTCTGGCTGATTACTAGTTCCATTTTGGGGTATCTCTCTGGGTGGCCTTTTAAATGCAGCACATCACATTGTTCTTCTGAATTAAACTCTCTGAAATTCTCCTAGGTTAAATTTCTGGAGCTGACTTTGATGAGGGAGAAGGTTTGCTGGCTGTTTGCTCTTTTCCTCTCTCAATGCCCTTGATTGCTTTCCTACTTTTGCAGCAAGACACTTAAGAGATGAGGTCAGAAGAGCTCTGGGTCAGGCAGTTCAGAGGCTCAGAAGCCTGTTGCTGCCAATTTAGAGCTGATTCTGTGAGGCAGCAGCAGCAGCAGCTGAGTAGGTTACCTCCTGCTACTTTTCTGTTCCATTTCTGCAGGCGAGAGTGACCTGAATAAAGTGGCAGATGCCTGCCTGATTTACCTCAGCGCCAAGCAACCCAAGAAACTGCAAGAAGCTGCCCAAAGGTAATGTCTCTTAAATGCAGTTGTATCAGGTGTACAAATGTGGGACAGAGGGAGTACAGTAACCCCTTTCCTTTTGCACCTTTCCCATTCCTCCCTCCAGCACGTTTCAGTTCTGTACAATGGGGTCTCTCATGAAAGTTAACCCCTTTCTCTGCTGAACTATCAGTTACTGCCCAAGTGAGCTAGAGAGGTCAGCTTGCCACAGCTTACAGTTGACTTTCAGATACCTCGTAATGTATTTAGGGACAGAGGGGGAAGATGTGCTACTTGCTTTTTTCTCACTGCCTCGTGTACTAGAATACTTGGGGCTCTTGGCCCACTGGTGGCATAAAACTGCAGGGGGGAAGACAGCTGTGAGAGAGGATGTGCCAGACATTCCCATGTATTTTATTGCTTAATACCTTCTGCAGGCTGGGGGATTTACTTCTGTTTTCCTTCCATTTTCCCTGGGCTCCTGTGATCACGTCAAGCCAGGCTCTGCCAGGTGGACCGGACTTTGTTTGGGAAGCTGTCAGTCTTGGCACCAGTTGTGCTCTGAGGAGCCTGGGAGAGGTTAAAAGAGCACAAACAGTTTAGGTGAACGCACATCAGCTCTATGAAGTGTTGACAGACATACTTTGCTGCTTGGCGTTCAAAATCCTGCTCAGCATGTTCCCACTGTCAGGATAAGAAATCACTATTGTCATATGTTGTCACCTGGAAACAAGGGCAGATATTTCAGCAGACAAAATGAGTCTAGTTACAGAACATGCAGAGTGAATAAGAAAGCCATGCACCTCTGCCTCTGCAGAAGGATGGGGTAAAACTCCCCTCTTGCTGTGTGCCCACCCTCCCCTCCCCTCCCCTGAGGGCAGCAGAAGCCAGCGGTGAGCAGGTTCAGCTGCGGATTTAGGAGGGCAGGCTGTCAGAAAGGGAGGAGCTGCCAGTTCCCTTTCACCTGAGCCCAGGCCTCCCAGGGGTGCAGGGCACGAAGGGCTTTTGTGTGGCTGGGCAGCAGTTCAGAGGGAGCTCTCTCAGGAGCTGTAGCTGTACCTTTGTGTTCCTGCGCTGGGCAGAGCTGGTTTATTTTTACCTTCGTGGCTTTTATTGCGTCGCAGCAGGCTTCAGCAGCATTTGTTCTGCAGAGGGGTTCTTCGCTGTAGGCTTGCATACCCTTAACGCAATAAAGCCTTCATCTGTGTAAGCAATGCTGGAGTGGAAAGCAGAACACCAGGATTTATCTAGATGTTTAGAATCTTAAGCTTTTAAATCATTAACAAAGCAGTCTGAAGAGCTGTGCAATTTGCCCCCACAGCAGGAGTGGGGGGGGAAATACTGAATTAGCCCTATGATGCCACAGGGTCATTAGAAGCTATATTGTGAAGCAAGCTCACTGTTATTGGAGAAAAAGGGCAGCAAAGTTCAGAGCAACTGATATTTTTCTCTTGTATATTATTTTTATTCTATTTAAGAGAAAAGTGCCCCATGTTACACAGCTCCCCCCATGCCTTTGATGCACCTTACATTACATATTTCCCTGAACAAAGCAAGGTCTTTGTGAACAGCTATCTCATGTGTAGCTCTCTTGGCCAACACATACATGCACTGAGGCATGGGTCACGTCTGGCCTGATATTAACCACGCATATGGCAGTGCTTGTAGTTTTCTTGGGTGTGTTTTATGGTTTTTTGGTTGTTTGTTGGGTGGGGTTTTTTTCAGTTTAGCCCTGTCTAATCCCTGGTCTTGGCAGCTGGATGGATCAGCGTTAAACGTGTCACAATCACTTTTAGCTGCAGTACACAGGGTATGAGGTTTCAGCTTGGAAAAGTCAAAATTAGTTTGCGCCATAACAATCAGCTCCAGCGCCAGGACAAGAATCACTTCTCAGCCCGGCTTCGATTTCCCTTCTCCAGCTGCTGAGCCCGGGGTTCCTGTGGGCTCCACTCCTTTCCTTGCTCTCCATGTACCTGAAAGTAATCCTCGAAACTGACACGGGTTGTCACACGCAAGACCCTTTCCATCTAGGCAAGGGCAACATTTTCAGCCTGATACATGAAAAATTCTGCATCTTAAATGCTTCTAAAAACAGATAGACCAGAGCTAATCTTAGCCACAGCGTGAGTGCCAACATATGTCACGTTACTCAGCTTTATCGCTGCAGGAATCATGCGAGGTAAAAAGATGTTTGGAATCAGCGTGCCATATTGATTTATACCAACTGGCCTTTGCTCAGCTTTTTGGATCCTTACTCAGCTCGTGAGTTGTGACCTGCCAACAGCAAGGTCAGGTCTTGCAGAGTCAGTTGTAGCTCTAATAACTCTGCACTAAGTGAGGATTCTGTAGGTATGCGAAGGGCTAAGCAGGAATTTTTGGCCCAGGTGCTGGAGCCACAAAAAAAAAAAAAGAAGGAGTTTTGGCTGTCTTCCAGGGATGTTATCATGCCCCAAGGAGGCTGCTTAATCCCATTTATGGGACCCTGTAGTTTTATTAGCTGAACCAGTGGGAGTAAGTGAATTTTGTAAGTGCAGCTTCATGCAATACTCAAGAGGCAAAAATAGATGCTGGGAAAAAAAAAGAACTGCAGTATGTCTGAGGAAGAGAAAAAATGGGACAATAGGCTTTATGATAAGATGACTGCTGGGAATATTCCAGGAGAGGAATATTATCCAAAGCTTGGGGAAAAAAAAATACTGAAGAGGGGTTTGAGAAGGCATGGGAACACTAGATACAGCTTTGCTTTCATTGAGAGTGAGGCAGTGCCACTGTGGGTAAAGTGACCAGAAACACCTGAGCAGCCAAGGGGTGGGGACAAGCACTGGGAACAGGGTGGGGGGGGAAGATGGTGCAAACTGGAAGTCACCACATGTAAATCTGAGCTTCTCATCAGTTTATTAAGTTGCATGATCCTTGTCAAGCTTTTCACTTTGGGGAAAAAAATTGATTGAAGGAAGAGACATGAAGAAATTGTTACTGGCGTATGTCAACACTTCACAAGTAGTTCTGCAATTTTTGCAGTTTGAAGTGACTGTTTTGAAATTTACAGTTAATTCCTAATAAATGTTTACAGCCTGTGAAGGTACCATTTGACCTTTTGGTCAACAGTCTGGATAGGAATGGGTTTTCCAGGATGCAGAAATAATTTCCCCAGTTACTACTAAAGTCTGTGGTGAACTGTATCTAGTTAAACATTTAGCAGAGATGCAGAAGCCAGAAAGATAAGTCCTTTTGCCAGCCTGCTCACTGTGCAAAGGCTTTGCTTAGAGCTTGGGAAAAGACAAGGCAACAGAACAGCCAAACCCTGCTCTGTGCTAGTAGAGTAAGTTGTTTAGCACAACTGGAACAAATATGAGCTATATTTGGATCTTTTTAGATACCAAAGTTCATTATGCAGCTTACCTCTTTTGGTTTGATTGTGTAGTTTATTGGGTGCTTACTGACAGCTGTCATTCACAGGCTGGGCTGAAGTACCCCGAAACAGCCACCTGCACAAGACAAAATTCAATAAAATTATATTTATATTAAAAAAAAAAAGGCAACAACAGAAAACAAACCTGGATTAACCCCAGGATTCTTTGCCATGGAAACAGGTTGCTTAGAAACTACCCCAGAGTTAGTTTGAAAATGTAGAAGTCAAGTTGTTCTTTAAGCAGCACCGCAGTCCAGGTTATCGGGGGGATAATCACCCGCCTTAGGCCCTTACGGGCACACAAGGCAGTGGAGTTCTCCAGGGACAAGCTAATCTCCAGGGTTGCTCTCTCCAGAGCAGCTGACTGGGAGGAGGTTGGAGCACAGGGCACCTTTGCTGTGAATATAAGAGCTGAAGTTGTGCGTATGCTGGAGAAGCAGAAGCCACCTGCATAGTGTTCCCTGTGCCCATGTTTACCTCCCAGTGATTCATCTTTCTTGCCCAGACCTACCCACCCCGGCCATAAGGAGTGAGGATTATTTCTGTGCAGCAGCCCACCAGCAGCAGCCCATCATGAGCGAGGGGAAGCCACTGGGACCTGCTGGTTCCCAGCAGGCGGGCAGCTGCGAGCTCACGCTGTCGTGGCCAAGCGAGCACCAGGAGAGCCAGGAGAGCACGGGCACCGGCAGGGCTCGGCGAGCTGGTGCTGGGAGGTCAGCAGGTACGAGCTCTAGAGCCTGCCTGCGCTTTGCTCAGGCTGGCACTCAGGTCAGGCCAGTCCTCCCTGTTCCAGTCAGCAGAGCTGCAATAGCAAAGCCAGGGGAGCAGAGTTGTGTGAGCTCACCTGCATCTGGCTGTTCCCCAGCAAGAAGGCAGGTTGCTGGTGGTTGTTGCCAAGCACAGCTATCACTCAGCAGCACGGTCACGCTGGGTTCCTCTGGAGCAGACAGATAGGCACTGCACACACCTTCCGGAGGGGACGTCTTCCCTCGTTGCTGTTCAGAGACTCACACTGAGACAGGCAAGTGGTTAATGGCAGGGGGGGAAAGGCAACAATTTTGGCTGCTCATACAGCCACAGATGATTGTGAAGAGATGAGGAGCTGCCTAGTGCCTCTATCTCATTTTTCTGCTGTTTCAGGTTACCCATGGCACCGCACTCCCTTTCAGAGGAGAGCTTCTAAAAGGGATTTCTGCCTGCTCTGCATGGGAAGCAAACTCACTTTAGGGATAAAAGTTCTTCAGGGAGTTTTCACAGCAATCAGGTCTGGATTTTGTGTGGCTTTTTTAGAGGTGATCTTTGATTTTAGAGAAGGGAGTTCTGACCTGCGCTTCTTGAGGGAACAGAGATAGACCTACCATCCGTCTTCTTTTTATGTTACCTCACCCAGCTGTTCTCCTCATGGCCCCGTGATTTCAGTAGAAACCAGAGACCTGAAGATGTGTGGCTGGGCATTCACTGGGGTCTTGGAGAGCTGACCTGTAAGTTTGGCGAGTGCTGTGTACCCTTGTGCTCATGGTCTCTGTGGGAGCACAGAGTACTCGGTGCCTTGCAGGACACCTCGCAGTGCTGTCTGGGCAGCCTGCAAATTCTAGATTAATTTTAGCTTAAGTACAGAGAACTTAATACCAGTTAAGCTCAATATACCTTCTGTGCATTAAACCCGGACACAGACCCAGCCGAGCACAAAGGGTATTGACAGCGAGAGCTGGCAGGAAGAAATGAGTGAGCTAGGTCATGCAAATCAGCCATTTGCTCTTCTGCTCCTAGGAGCTTCCAGCTCTCCAGCAACTGTCCGCAGCATCTTTGCTACAGCAGCTCACAGCTGGGGTCACAGCTGTGAAATGAACACTCAAAAGTCAAATCCCCCATCTTACCCGGGGTATTGAAATTCAAAGTGAATCCATCAGCACAGCGGTAAAGAGAGGAAGTTGTCGTTCCTCCCTCCCTCCATTCTGTTGTTAATGAAGGGTTTGTTTTAAAAAGAAAATCCTGCTTTGTGAGCTGTGCAGAAGGAAGAAACTTTGAAGGCAGCTAATAAAGACTTGAGATGAGACCTCACCTAAGAAAAAAGCCCCAAGTACAGCATTTTGCTCTACAGCCTAGACAGTTGTCCAGAATTACCCTTGTTTTTACCCACTCTGAAAAGGGGCACAAGTCCAGGTGGGTTGAGCCCTCACTCCCCAAAAACCAGACAGGATGGTGAACAACGTAACACGACTTATTTTTAGAGCTCTGCAGGAGTGATTGCCCAAAACACAGCGGATGTAAATAGCACGTGGAACACTCTGCAGTCACCTCAGGACTTGGGACGGGCTGGTTCAGAAGGGCTTTTGCCGGCAGCAGCCCGTGATGCTGAGGCCAGAGCCTGGGTCAGTTGTTCACCAGCTGGTTGTCTGATGTTGATAACTTACTGTGCAGCATAATAAGTATTTTTTTCCCCACTTGCCGTTGGTGTGAAACCACTGAGCTGTCTTCTGTGGGCACAGGAGCCATTTTAATGGCTCTCTCTAATGAGCCTCCCAGTCTGTTCCAGTCTCGGAGGTTGCAGACATCAAAGCTCTCTGTTAATGACCCTGCTGGGTGCCAATCTAAAGGCCACCTCCTTACTCTTCTCTCCTTTCTTCCCACTGTTTTCCAAAGTGTTTTCCTCCACTTAATGCACGTGGACCCTGACAGCACCTGGCTCCTCCTGAACGAGGTTTGCTGCCCTCACCAGTACGAGCCCCCCCACGTCAGCCTGCGGCCGGTGAAGCTGAGCGGGATGGGGAGGCAACGGAACGAGTTCACCGACAACGTGCTGCTCCTGCTGGAGAGGCTGCAGCAGCAGGAGGGTGGGCAGCCGCGGGCTGGGACCCCAGAGGCGGCTCCTCCTTGACAGACCCACACAGCGGCTGGGAGGGGACAGAGGAACCCCTGGGATAGTGCTCACCTGGGAAATCCTGTCACTCAGGCCCCGAATCGTTCTGGGGGCAGAGGAGGGATCGCCACTCGGGGGTGCTGGCCGAGGCACCCTCCCCACGGGCAGAAGCTGTGTTTGTTTTTAAGCAGTGTTTGAGGATTGGGTGGGTACATGGCCCCGTTCCTCCAGGCGTCCCTGCACATGGTGCTGGAGAGAAATCCGAGGGGCAGAGCACATCTGCTTCCAAGTCCTTCAGTACAAAGAGAGAGTTGTTTTAAAGGAGTGACTTCCCAACACTCCAGCCTTTGGTGGTGCCCCTTCAGCACCCCCACGCCCCTCTAACCTCCCTCTAACTGATATTCCCTCCTGTTCTCATCTGGACAATGATTGTCAGCTCAAAACAAAAGCTTTTTATACCCTTAACCCTTCGCAGAGAGAGAATCTTGTTTGGAGTGCATTAGAAATCTGTTTTTAAAATCAGTTGTCAGAAAAAGTTAAAATACATTTCCAATAAATTCCTCACCAGTATCACTGGCAAGAGCAGTCTGTGCAACTGATATTCCCTCCTGTTCTCATCTGGACAATGATTGCCAGCTCAAAACAAAAGCTTTTTATACCCTTAACCCTTCGCAGAGAGAGAATCTTGTTTGGAGTGCATTAGAAATCTGTTTTTAAAATCAGTTGTCAGAAAAAGTTAAAATACATTTCCAATAAATTCCTCACCAGTATCACTGGCAAGAGCAGTCTGTGCTCTTAGGAAGATCGGGGCTGTTCCTTACACTTTGCAGTTTGCCAGGACCGGCTGCTGGGACCGGCCGGACGCGCTGTGCTCCCCAGTCCTCACCGCCGAGTGAGACGCGCGTTAGAAAAGCGGCCAGCCCTGATTTACAGCTCGCAAGGGGTGCAGGACTCCTCCTCGTTCCCACATTGCCTGTTGTTCTCACAGCCCATCTCTTAGACCTCTCAGATTTTTAACACCCACCCCAAGGAGAACTAGATGAAGTATCTACCCGTGCCCCGGTGCAGCCTCCCAGGTGGGTGCGTACGTGGTCAGACGATGCAGGCGGTGACACGAGGTGTGAGCACGTTGGTACCACCATGGTTTGTTTAAGCACCGTGCACTGAGCAGAGGGGATGACAAGTCTTTGGGGTCCACTTGCTGTCCCTGCCCAAGGGCCTCCCCACCAGAACACGGCACAGGCTCACCCCTCTCCTGGAAGCTGCTGTAGCGTAACTGCAGCTCCCGCATCCTCCAGCCTCTGTCCCCAGACTCTGCGGGTGCTGCTCTCCTCGGCCACCCAGATCACGCCGTCTCCTGGATGCATCAGCTTCACCCAGAGCTGCTCCTGGCAGTGGGCTGCCCTCCGACAGACACTCCTGAAAGTTTTTTGCTAGTAAAGCAAAGGCACAGATCTTGACTGTAAATTTGGAAGGAAGCTCAGAAATATAAAAACCAAAGCAATAAACTGATTGTTCCATGAACAGGCTTTGTGCGTTGCTGTTGGGGATCCCAGGTGAGTGCCCAGAACCCACCTCGGCTGTAGGGTCCAAGGGCACTGCTGCTGATTCCCACACCCCCCTCAGCTGAGATCAGCTCCCCTTGTCTCCCTGGTTTTGTTCAGGCTTTACTCCTGTTTGCTTCAAGAAAAACAAGTCAGCAGCTTTTTACCAGGTAGGACAGGGCTGCAGTTCAGCTTTTACCCTTTTATGCTTTTTTAAAATATATATTCAGTGCTTAACTCTGGGTTGGCTTTTGTACAAAGGAACCCTCCAGAGTTGATCTGACAGGAAAGACAAGAGAGGCAGAAAGGTGAAATATTACCTGTGGTCTCCAGAGCACCCTTGGGGTCAGTGCAGAATTTTCTGGATTGTTGTAGCGCTTGATAAAACTCATCCATCAGGTGCACATGCTGCATCCAACCCGGCTCTGCCTTCAGCGCTGCCTGGAGCTCACACGTGATGGTGCTGGGTGCTCCTGCCTGAACCATCTGTTCTGGGCTCTCCACCCTCCTGCAGCCCGGGGCTGCCCTGGGCTCCTCGTGGGCTTCACCTCTTGCCAGGGGCTACAAGTGAAACCTGTGCCACCTCCCTGCAGCTTGGGGTCAGCCCCCAAACCAGCCTGGTGAGAAGCCCCCTCCCACTGCCAGGCATCTCCGGCCGGTCACGGGCTGTGGACAGAGAAGAGACTTGTCTGGACGGGCTCTGTGCTGTTTGAATCGGTCACCTCTGGGAAGCAGGAGCAGCCCGGCCTTGCTGGATTCACCTCTGCCGAGACAAGGCAAGCTGAAAAGAGAAACCAATAACCTTTATTCTAGCTGGGTTTTTTAGAATGGAGTTATCCATGTTTCTGAAAGGAAGAGAGTAAAACCAAACTGCATCTGCAGCATCGACCTGTCATCTACCTGGGGAGATGCTGATGGGGCTCAGGGGCTGCTGCCACCCGTCACCCTGCAGCTGATGGGCACACAGCACCAGGACAGTGGGGACCAGGGTGCTCAGGTCCTTAGGACAGCGAGGGGACAGGACAGGACCCACCGCTGTGTCCCTCCTGTGATGCCCCTTCCCAGGGGGGCAAATGCACCTTCCCCCTCGGCTCCTTCTCTCGTGGCCGTTACTGACAGGGCAGGGGGGGCTGATCCACATCCCCCCAGCCAGGCCTCCGGCACAACCAATGGCACCACGGCACCTGCCGGGTCCCAGTGCCGCTTCTCCCTGTTCTCTCTCCAGGTTTCTCTGCTG